ACAAGGCCTAGGCTTTAGATGGTAGGGAACCTAACAAGGCCTAGGCTTTAGATGGTAGGGAACCTAACAAGGCCTAGGCTTTAGATGGTAGGGAACCTAACAAGGCCTAGGCTTTAGATGGTAGGGAACCTAACAAGGCCTAGGCTTTAGATGGTAGGGAACCTAACAAGGCCTAGGCTTTAGATGGTAGGGAACCTAACAAGGCCTAGGCTTTAGATGGTAGGGAACCTAACAAGGCCTAGGCTTTAGATGGTAGGGAACCTAACAAGGCCTTGGTTTTTGGTGGTAAAACTCATTGTGGGAAACCTAACATAGATGATAAAACACCTGGATGAGAATGCTAGGCATAGAAAGTGTACATTGCAAATACTAGTCATAAAGTTTTAACCCTTTTCCGGTCAGGGGAGTTTCACGCTATCAGGTTAAGTCGTTGAAAAACGGTCATGATTCAATGCACTCCAGTAGCCAGCATCTGTGCATGCTATCCTGCCAGACATTTTTGCAAAAATAGGCCATAGTTAACAGACTGTATCGACCTCAGTTTTCACATTTTTTGCAATCTGTTTGCATACACACTTCATTACCACCATGGACAACAATTTCTCGTATAAAAAAAGTCACCCGTTTTATTTCAATACACATTTTTTACTGTCGTTAAGTAACGATGTTTTGCCCTTTGTACAGTCTCAATAAACACGTGTTAAACATTGAAATAAATATTGCTTAATTGAAAACACATTACAAGCAAGTACAAGGTCACTACATGAATGCAAGTTCGAAGTAAGAAAAAAAACAACGCGTGAGTATGGGGATATTTGGGACATGTACGGGGGAAAACGTGTTTGACGTACTCGACCCGTTAGCGTACATTTCAAATTGCAACGTATATTCAACGACTTGAACTACATGTGTAACAACATATTACAACATACTTTCCGTGACTTAACTGATGTTATATTCAAGCTCTAACGTATATTAACCGACTTGACCGTATGAGTAAGTCCACACTTACAACGTATATTTAACGACTCAAACTGAGACTGAAACGAACGAGAACGTAACTGCAACGACTTGATCGGGGTTACCTTCACACGGCAACGTATATTCACCGACATGACCACATTAACCAACTAAATATTTCAACGTATATTTAACGACTTGAAATAAAACGAACTAGCGAGAACGTAACTGCAGGGACTTGGCGTGTATATATACTCACGCAGAAACGTATTTCCACCGACTAGACCCGATGAACTATCCTGACATAAAACGTATAAATACCGACTGAGCATGAAACTAAATTAACGATAACGTATTTTCACCAACTCAAACTATTGTACAGTTCGTG